TTCAAAAATAGCTGCTAAGTTCAGCTAATTTCAGAATAAATTTTATTTTTTTTTCTCAAAACTCAAATTCAATAGCTGCTTATTTTTTTTTTTTTTTGAAATTTTAGCGTAAAAATATATTTTGTTTTAACTTCGTCGTTTCGAAACCTTACAATTATTTAGAATATCAAATTAGGAAACTGATTTTAGAACCTAAAATTAGTTTCCTTTTGATTTCACTGTAATTTTTGTTTTAACCCCCCAAAAAATAGTTTATATTGTGCAAGAAAAAGAAAAAAAGTAAAATTTTACAGTAAAAACGTCTTAAAAATAAAAAAAAATAGTTTAACAAAATAGTTTAAAATTCACCAGACAGTAAAAAGCGTATATGTAAAATTGCCACAAATCAAAAAGTTGATTCATCCAAATGAAAGTTTTATATATATATATATATATATATATATATAATATATATATATATATATATGTTCTTGAAATTGTTTATCATCAATAAGAAAAAAAAAATATTTAAGTGAAAAAAAAAGGAAAAAAACAAAATAAACGTCGATAAGTTCAATATGCTTGTAACAACTTTCAATTTCTACACTTTGTAATTTCTCCAGCATTAAAATATGTTGTACATGAATACAATAAACGTTATTGTATCAAAGAACTTTCAAAAGCAATCATTTTCTAAATAAAAGATAAGAAAAATAACTATTTTTTCTCGTTCGGAAGAATTTTTATTTTTTATTTATTTATTTATTTTTTTTATTTTTCAATAAATCGAGAGCTCATATATTGATTATTCCGTATACGTTCTCCGCGAAATATACTTTTACCCGACGTGTATGCGCGCTTATATAGAGACGCATTGCGCGTAAATTTTCTGCCTCGTGATTTACGTAATGCTGCTGTACCTGATCGAGATTCAATCGAGACATTTCCGTCAGTGTTTTTTTTTCTTTTTTCTTGTATCAATAACAGTGACCTTTAAAAATAGATATGCAAAAAAAAAACCGGAGACAATCGTTGCAGTTATAGCGAACTTGCTTTACCTCTCTGACAAATATATTTATGTTTCTTTTTTGCGGTCTTTTCTATTCTCCACTAATCGTGAGAGCCAAAGAATTTGAAAAAAAGAAAGGGGGGGTATAATTGTGAACTGAATTTTTTTTTTTACTGCTTCTTATAATTGTACGTTTAGAAATAAAATAATAATAATAAAAAATAATAATAATAATAATAATAATAATAATAATAATAATAATAATAATAATAATAATAATAATAAATAATAATTGAAATACCAAAGATTATTTCTTCCACTTTTGAAGCTTTTTCCCTTTTTAAGAATGTATTTCAATTTTTACAATTTTTGAAATAATTTTTATTAATTTCGACGTAAATTTTACTATTCTGGATGTAAATCTTACTTTGAAAATTAGAAAAATTTAGAGAGTAAACTTACAAGGTAAATTCTACTAGACTCGAAATGAATTTTACTCATTTTTCTTGTAGTTTACATTTAGTACAGGAAAATTTACTTCCAGAATAGTAAAATTTACTTCGAATTTGGTAAAAAAAAAATCAAAATCAAAAGCCATTCGGAATATAGTGAATTTTACTTCGGAATTGGTAAAATTTACTTTTAAAAAATATCAGAGAAAGTATAGTAAAATCGCTAAGGAAATTTCAGATTTTACTAAATGCGAGTGTAGTAAAAATTAATTTATATTTTTTTCTGTGTGCGATAAAAATTATATAATTTTTAATTAGTCAATTTTACTGCGGGTTTAAAATTAATTTTACTAATTTTTATAATAGTTTATATCCAGTATAGGAAAATTTACTTCGAATTTGGGAGAAAATTTTCAAAATATTTTAGGATTTATACAAATAAAAATCGAAAGTAATTCAGAATAGTGAATTTTACTTCGGAATTAGTAAAATTTACAACTAAAAATAGCAATGAAAGTAGTAAAATCGAGGCAAAAATTTTAATTTTCAAATTTTACTGGATGAGAGTATGGTAAAAGTTGATATATTTTTTTTCTGTGTGGGATAAAAAATTATATATTTTTTAATAAGTAGTAAATTTTACTGTGGGTTCAAAATTAATTTTACTAATTTTTATAAGAGTTTATATCCAGTATAGTAAAATTTACTGACAGAATAGTAAAATTTTCTTTGAATTTGGTAATATTTTAAAAAATATTTTGGAATTTGTACAAATATAAATCAAACGCCATCGAAATTAGTAAAATTTACTCTAAAATTGCTAAAGAAATTGGAGATTTTACTAGACGAGAGTATAGTAAAAATTACTTTATATATTTTTTTGTATAGGATAAGAGATTATCAATTTTTATTGAGTAGTAAATTTTACTAAGTTCAAAATCAATTTTAATAAATTTTTTTAAATATTTTACATCAAGTACAGGAAAATTTACTTCCAGAATAGTAAAATTTATTTCGAATTTGATCAAACTTTTCAAAATATTTCAGAATTTATACAAATAAAAATCAAAAGCCATGCAAAATAGTTAAATTTACTTTATATTTTTTCTGTGTAGAATAAAAATATATTTTTGTAAGTGATAAATTTTACTGAGATCGAAATTAATATTACTAATTTTTATAATACTTTACATCCAGTATTTACTCCGAATTTGGTTAAAATTTTAAAAATATTTCAGAATTTATACTAAATTTACTCTAAAAATAACGGAGAAAGTAGTAAAATTGCTAAAGAAATTGGAGATTTTACTAGATGAGAGTATAGTAAAAATTACTTTATTTTCTTTTCTGTGTAGAATAAAAAAAATTTCTATATTTATTAAGAAATAAATTTTACTTGGTCCGATATGAATTTTACTAATTTTTTTTATTCAGTAGTTTAAAAATTTACTTTCAGAATAGTAAAATTTATTTCGAATTTTGTAAAACTATTCAAAATATTTCTGAATTTACATATTTAAATTGAAAACCTTCCAGAATAGTAAAATTTACTTCGAAATTAGTCAAACTTTTCAAACTATTATCAAATTTTGTATATTTAAATAAAAAACCTTCCATTCTAGTAAAGTTTACTTCGAAATTAGTAAAATCTACTTTTGAAAGTAGTTGAGAAAAAAAGTAAAATTTGCAGCAGTAATTTTAAATATTAATTTCAAGTTTTTCGATTTTTACTACAAGGGTATAGGAAAAGTTACATTATATTCTTTTCTGGATAAGATTATAAATATTAAAATTAAATTATATTATTAAAAATTATCTTAAAAATTATCTTAAAAATTATCTTAAAAATTATATTATTAAAATATTTATATTAAGTACCAAATTTTACTGGATCCAAAATAAATTTTACCAAATTCGTATAATAAAATTCACTTCAAAAATAACAAAATTTACTCTCTGGAAAAAATCATATTCATATACATATTTTAAAAAACAATCAGTCTGTCGAATCCTTAGAAACTTTGGAGACAACTTTTATTTTCAACTTTTACGTATGTTTATGTATTATAGTCGAAAAGAATGAAGAGATTTTAATCAGAAAAAGTGACCTGTTGTTTTGTCCATAAAATTTGTTTTGCTACTTTCTCTAGTCATGGGATTTAGTAGACAGTTTGTTCTTTTTCTTTTTTTTTTTCTTTCAATTTTTTTTCTTTTCTTTTTTTTCTTTACTGGGACGTGATCTGGAAGATGAGATTTTGCCTGGTGTGCTCTCACCAAGTAATCTGCAAGCAATAGATTACATCGGGAAATTGAGTAGTCATTAATAGTCTTGCACGAAGTAAATAAATACTTAAAGTAATTAATGTTCTTTGATGATCTGAAATTCATTAGTGAGACGGCAAAAGTTAACTTCAGTATAAAATCAATCTAAAGATCGACAATTTTTTCCACTTTGTCATTTTTATTTTTTTTCCTTTATTTTTTTTTCATTACTTTTACTTTCTTTACTATTTTTTTTTTTTTGTTTATTATAAAACTTTATTTCTAAAAGTAAATTATTTACTAAAGGGAAATTTTTTGATGAATTATTCAAGTTTATTTTTATTATTAACAGGCCTTCCAAAAATAGAAAAATTTATTATTAATAACTATTATTAATAATTATTAAATATTATTTTTAGTGTAATATTTATTATTTATTTTTTCCATTTTACATTTTCAAAATTTTGAAAAATTAGGAAAAAAAAACTAAAAATTGCAGTTTATAAATTCAATGGCACTTTCGATAACCGGAGAATAGATTTCTCTTAAACTGTATTACAGTGAAACCTGTCGGAATGCAACTCGATTTTTTCAAATTTCATTACAGTAAACAATCATTAAAAAAAATTGTTCTGTAATTTAATTTTGAAATATTTTTACAGTACTCTGGCAACTATGTGAAAATAATTCTTGTTGGACATTTTTGAATAAAAAAATCATTTTTCAATAGAGTTGCATTCCGACTGGTTCGACTTTAGAAAAAGATACATAAAAATTAAATTATAATATTATGTATTGAGAAATGTAAAAAAAAAAAATTAAAAGGGTTTCATATACAATAACCTGTACAAGTAAAAGGGTAACTCCCTGAACTCTCTAAGGTCATGAGTCGTGAAAATAAAGTAAAAAAAAAAATTCCCTGTGGTTTCGTCAAACAACCTGTTAAGGAGGCTCGAGATGAAAAAAAAATTTTTTTTTCTTTTAAGAAGCTAGAAACTGACAGTATAATCCCAGGGTATTATAATCATCAGAGTGCGGGTAAATTCCATGCCTCTATCGATGGATTTTTGGAAAAGCTGGGAATGAAATTTGTCCGAATTCTGATAAATTACTCGAAAGTCGCGCATGCATTTACTCTTCTTTTTATAATTTTTTCCCTACTTTTTGTGAAAAAAATTTTTTCTTTTTTGAAAAATCTTTCTTGTTTTTATTTATTGTTTTTCTATTTTTTCTTATACCTTTTTCTTTCCTTTATACTTTTTATACTTTTCTATTGTTTTTTAAAATTATTTTACTGTATTTTGTTGTAATTTTTTTTCTTTATTCTTTTCTTTTGTTTTTTTAATTGATTTTCTATAAATTGTTATAATTTTTTTTTCTTTATACTTTTTATACTTTTCTATTGTTTTTCTATACATTGTTATAACTGTTCCTCTTTATCCTTTTTTTATGCTTTTCTATTGTTTTTCTATATTTTCTTATGCTTTTTTTTCCTTTATACTTTTCTATTGTTTTTAAAAATTTTTTTCTATATTTTCTTATTCTTTTTTCCTTTCTATTTTTTATACTTTTCTATTTGAATTTTCCCGGAATTTTTCACGAAACAATTGTCAATTATCAGCAAGTCAATTCATTAAAATTTTTTCATAGTTTTAATTTATACTTTTCTATTATTTTTTCCACTGCTTTTTGAATTTTTGTTTCTAAATTTTAAATTGTAATAGAACTGTAATATAATGTAAATCCAAATATTCCAAATCCAAAATATAAATATTGTGTTGACAAAAATTAATTTTTTTTTTGCTATTTTTAATCATTTTCAAACGTAGATTTTAATTTAAAACTATATTTTAAAATTTTGGGTTTTAAAATTTAAGGCTAAATATCCTGCTTTCAAGGCTAAAATTCAGTGAGAAATGGTTCTAAACGTAAACTGTGCTTTTAGTCAAAATGGGGCTAAAGATTTTTCTTTAAAGTCGAAAATAAGAAAAATAAAAAAAAACGTTTATATTTAATTCGATTTTGTGGCCCCTAATTTGGGGGTTCGACTAGAAATTTCCCACAGTGACTATACGTTGTTTATTAACAGTCCTCATATAGTAGCTTAAATATTTTTTCACAAAACTTTATTAAAAATCCTCAACATACTTTCCTATCTACTTTTTCCTTGAAAGTTTGAAAGAAATTTTTTATTTTTGCAAGAAAAAATTTAAAGTCATTTTTAAAATTGGGTTCGGTTGGGCCAGGTCGAGTTAAGGGTCCGAATTATGCTAAATCGGCCTAATTTGGCTAATTGTACCTAATAAGGCCAATTAGTCCTTAGTAGGACCTATTGAGGCCAAGTGGACTTAGGTAGAACCTAATAAGGTCAATTGGACCTAGATAGAACCTAATAAGGCCAATTGGTCCTAAAGAGGACCTAATAAGGCCAATTGGCTCTAAGGGGCCCCCCTTAGACTTAATAAGGCCAATTGAACCTAAGTAGTACTTAATAAATCCAATTGGCTCTAATGCCCCCCCCCCTAGATTTAATAAGGCCAATTGAACCTAAATAGGACTTAATAAGGCCAATTAACCCTAAGAAGAGCCTTATAAGGCCAGTTGGCCCTAAAGAGGGCCTAATAAGGTCAATTGGATCTAAGTAGTTCTTAATAAAGCCAATTGGCTCTAATGGCCCCCCCCTTAGATTTAATAAGGCCAATTGAACCTAAATAGGACTTAATAAGGCCAATTAACCCTAAGAAGAGCCTAATAAGGCCAGTTGGCCCTAAAGAGGGCCTAATAAGGCCAATTGGATCTAATAGGGCCCCCTTAGACTTAATAAGGCCAATTGCACCTAAGTAGTACTTAATAAGGCCAATTGGCTCTAAGGGGGGCCTAATAAGGCCAATTAATTAAGACTCAATAAGGTCAATTGGCCCAAAGTAGGACCTAATCAGCCCAATTGGACCTAAGTAGGACCCCAAATAAAAACAGTAAAATAAAAATATTCCCCAGGGGAAAATAGGAGAGTAAATGCATGCACGACGTTCTCTTTGGATTCACTGTTTTTTTTTTCTTGGAAAACGGTGACACCTCCATTGCGCATGCGTTTCTTCGATTAGGGTTCGTCTACAAGTTCTTTTAAGGCCCAAGCACAATGTCGTTCGCGAACGCAAACCATGGATTAGAAAAGGATAGAATATTCCCATCCTTTTCTATCCCATATCGTTCACGAACGACTTTCGTAAATTGTGCGAATATTTTTTGTTGACTTCGATTGATTGATTGATTGATTGTTTGTTTGATAGACTGGTTCGTATTCCAAAACTGTAGACGTGTGAACTAACGCAAATATGGACAATCTACACGTATTCGGAAAAAAAAGAGAAACCGATCTTTAGAAGATCAGTTTTCAAAAGCCCTCGGCATTACCACGAAGGAACTGATCAATTTGACCGGCGGAGAGTGAGCCACCGGCGTGCTGTCCATGAGGTGGCGATTGAACGTAGTAGAACGACTGAGCGTCCCTCTGAGGATCTAGAAGTTGAAACCTCTGGGGCTGCTGTTGACGTCTCTGTTGTTGTGCGTAGAGTTGTTGGGACTGCTGGAAGATCTCGGCCTGCTGCTTCCTGTAGATTGCCTCCTGGGGTTGTCTAGCGATCTGCGATGATGATGATGAAGGTTGAGGTGGAGGTTGACGGTAGATGGGGTTCTGCCGCTGGGCCTGGGACAGCTGCTGGATGGGCGCGAGTTGTTGAGGCTGGGCTACGAATGGTTGGAGCTTGTGACTGAGGCTGATATCGCCAACGGTTTGTGGTAAGGACTGATAAAGTTGTGTATTGTACTGACCGGTTGCGGGATCGTAAACTAATTCGGACTGATAGATGGGCTCGGCTGACGGTGAACTCTTTGCCTTGGGGTGACCTTGGGGCCGGGCTGTTGGGGAGGACGTCAGGGCGACGGAGTTGACGTAGCGTTCGAGTTCGGCGGCAAAGTCGAGATTCTGAGGCGGTGGCGTGGAGGAGACGGCACGGGGTGGTAGGCTGGTGGTGGCTGATGTTGGGTGGTAGGTCCTGGGGGCGAATACGACGCCGGGCCTCTCGGTGCTACTGGGACCGACGTATTGGGCGGCGACTTGGGCGACGTGGGGGCGAGGAGTGATGGCGACGGATTGAGGTCTTTGGCGAGCGATGGTGGTGGCGCGGGTGCTGGCCTCGATGGGTTGGTAGATGGTGGAGGCTGATGAGGGGGAGGGTGAGCGATGGGGGGAGGAGGTGGTTTGGGCCAGTTGGTAGCGGGGGCCAGCGAGGGTGCTGCTGGCGAGTCGGTAGACGGGTTCGGAGGTGGGGTTGGGTTGGTATAAGCTGGAGGTGGTGGGTTCGGTGACTCTGAGGACGGGGCGTCTGAAGGCGGAGGGTCTGGTCGCTGGACGGGAGACTTCTTCGAGTTCCTGGCTGGCGTCGTCGTCTAGTTGGTACTCGGTTTGGAAGATGGTGGTTGGTACTCTGGGTGTGGTGGCTGGATAGTTGGGCCTAACTGGTCGTTGGATGGGCCTTGCAGCTGGGTAGTTGGCAGGACCAGCGATTTCTTCCTCCTTATCAGCCAGATCATCCTCGTCTTTTGGTGCATTCGGATCGCAAGGATTTCCAGAAACATACGTAAACTCTCTTTTGTTACCATCGGGGTCGACATAGCCGTACTTGCCCCGGACCACGCAATCCGTTCCACGTGTTTCTTCCTTAAATGACCCGTCCGCAGCTTCATAGCCAAAAGTGAAGGAGCCGTCGTCGTTAACTTTGTTATAATTGCGGATTGTTTGGACCGGAGGTGGTTTCGATCCTTGGAGCGTGTCTTTGGAGCGAGGGGAGGGTAGGGCTCGTGCTCGTGGCTGATAAATCGGCGCCTCGTATTCATCCTCCGCCTGCTGGTTGTCCTCCTCCTCGTAATAGACCTGAGGCTCCGCGACTCGTGGTCGAATTTGTACTCTCCGGGCTCCCGAGGTCACCAGCAGACAAGCTGGGATTATCTGCGAAAAAATCAACATCATTAACACAGAGTCTAAAAATTTGACACACTTGATTGAAACAAACATATTTTATCGGTAACGATTTATCGGTTTATTCAGGTTGAATTTTTAAATCTTTACACAAAATTATAAAGAATGAAGTAATACATTACTAGCAAATATTGCATCATATTCTAAATTTCTAATCAACTGTTTAATTAAACGTTACATGGGAAATTAAAACTACACCAGGAAATTATAGTTTCAGTATTCGATATCAATTATAAAGTGCGTAAAATCAGCGTGTCTGCCCCTTCCCCAATTGATAAAGATCGATTACAGTTCGCGTGCATTATAACATTTCCGATAAAAGAAAAGTTTTATTCAATTATTATTATCGAATTCGTCTTGTTACTCAAGAGCATTGTATATAAATACTTTATTTTCTCGGTAATTCGTACAATTCTGGAATTTTGAAATGCTGACCTCTTTTTAAAATTCAATTGTATTTAATCATTATTCCCTTCTATCAGAGACAATTTATGTACCATTGCGAAAAATTGTTCCACATTTATTTTATTTTCACTTTTCTTTATATAAAACTTTTTTTATTTTGTTTCTATTTTTCCACGTACACGTAATCTAAGAAAAATACAATGTTGGTAGTCAATCATCATGAAAGTGATGATGAGGACCTTTAGATTCTTTAGAATTCCTGACATTTCGTGTGTGGAAAAAAATAAATTGTTAACAATTACTAAATAAGTTTAATTAATCTCCATTTGTGCGTTCATTTACTTCCGCGCCGTATATGTTTTGTTTTTACTTTTTGGAAAGTTTCTTCCCGAGAAAAGAATGCGAGTGATTGTTATCTTTTAATAATGATTGTTGGGAGTTTTAAAACTAAAATCGATTCAGTTTGCGATAGAAAAATTGTACTTCCGTTTCAGTGAAGTTGTGTGGACTATTTTCCTGGTTTGCACCTCTCTCGTTGCTGACGTGTAACGAGTTCGAGTTGTGTCTTTAAAGATGGTTCATTATAACGACTTAGTTGGTTCAGCCATCCGCGAAACTCTCTCACTCTCAAGCTCCTTTTAACTTCCAGCTCGCTTTCAGCTCGCTTCCAGCCATACACACATATATACTTCTTATTATCTAAATAGAGACTACGGTAATTTTTATCGCGCCGCACATAAGCTAGATAACCACTTATGTATCTTATGCGCCTAATAAGCCGCCAATCGAGAAATAATGAAGTACTTTTCTCAAAATTCATTCACTTTCAATTTCAAATCTTTTTTTTTCTTTCATCTCGAATACTGTGTAATGTAGTTTGTGATGGTAAATTACAACAACAACCTTTTGGTGTGAGAGATTAATCATTGAGGAGAAAACATGAGAATTCTTGGGAGAAAAACTGAGATTCTAAATGATCTTTTTTGAAAATGAAACAATAGTTGACATAAAAAGGGTGCTCAACTCTTGGCTCTTGACCAAGTGAAAAGAAAGCGTGACTAAACTGAACACATGGACATTAGAAATACCGTTCTAATCAGCCTTGTTCTTCTTTTCAAATACTGACAATTGTAAAAATGTTTTCAATTTCAGAAAATTGGGTAATTTTCATTTGTGTTAAGAATACAGAGTTGTTAAGAGTATTAAGAATTAGTCGGTCCAATCATACAACACAGGGTTCGCACTCATCTACTAAAACCTACTATTTACTACGTTTTTTAGTTTGAAAGTTACTTTTCGCTACTTTTTGAAAATTAATTATCGAGTGCGAAGTCTGTACGTGTTAAGAATATTGAGAGTAGAGTTTAGTCCTAGATACAACATCTACAAATATATCAATAGTGACAAATTGTGTGAACCATTTCCACTTTATAATTGAATTCAACTTTCATATTTTAATTACAAAACGCTATTTTATCCTTAAATCGCGTAAATAAGGGAATTAGAATGAAAATTAATAGTCTTCTCCCATGCATCGGGTCTTTATGTGCGCTATGCATCATGTCTTTATTGAATCTGTCGGAACGTATATGTATCGAGAGGCTATAATGTATTTTATATCCTTGAAAATTGTATATGGATATATTTTGATTCAAGAGCTAGATTCATATTTCTTTGATTCGATAATCTTTTATTTTTTCTCCCATAGTACATAAAGTAGATGTATAGAGTATGAACATTGAAAATTGTGCAGTAAATTATTCGGATTAAATTGTATGTATTATAAAACAAACAGGGCAAACAGGATGTACCAGGGGAATAATCGGATACTTTGAATACTGATTGTGAACATATAAAATACATTGAACCATACATTGAATATTGTAGAATGAATAATGTATGTACGGTTTGGTTTATGTATAAACACATTCCCTTCAAGTTAATCGTACCTACATATAAACTGTTGCTCCTTTTTTTTTGCAGAAAAAATAAAGAAATAAGAAAGAAAACAAAAGAAAAAAGTTTCTTTCAAGTTTTAGTGTAGAAATAAATTCTTTGTTATCAAATGAGAAGTAATTTTAAGAAGACGATTTTTAACTTGAGTTTGACTAACTTAAAGTCAGTTTTTAACTAAATCTTACCATTAGGATTTTATTTAAAGTCCGATTGCTACTTTTTTCTTTCAAGGCTCGAATCAGTGAAAGTATTTAAAAATAGTTAAATACGGACTTTACGGACTAAAAATGAAAAATTACGGACCAATTACTAACAAAAATATAAACAGTCCGTGGCAAATAAGAGAATATTTTACTTAAAACTATAAATTCAATTTTTCAAAACTATAAAACATGAAGATATCGATAACTCCGAGTCTTCGACTCGAAGTCATCGATTTCTTCATGTTTTATAATAATTAAAAATGAGTGATAAAATCATTTATAATTCAATTATTATTTTCAAGAATTTAAAACTAAAATTCTTCTTTAAATCGATTATTTTTAATAATTTTCGAAAAAGTTCTTCGACAATTCTCAAATCCATTTCTTTACAATATTCAATTTTACGAAATTGCAATTGTTTGTAAATTCTTCAATTAAATAAATATTAGAAAATAAAAACTTAAAATAATTTCAAAAAATCGGCAATTAAACTTTTTCAAAAAAATTAATTTCAAAATTCAATTATTTTTAAAAATTCACGCTATATTGCTTTTAATATTCAATTATTATCCGAAATTTTAACTGAAATTCATTTTTATAAAATGAAAATCAATTTTTATTAGAAGATTGTACTAGAATTTAATTATTTAAATACAAATTTAAATGTAAAAATGCAAATAAATAATTTATTGAATAATTGAATGTTTCTTAAAATTCAATTCCCATAAAGAATCATTATTAACAAAAATTTCAAATAATTGAATTCTTTTAAGGAATTTTAATAAATTTTTTAAGAATAATTACATTTTTCGAGAAATTCGATTAAAATTGTATTAAAAATAATTGAAATTCTACAATGAGTTTTATTATTTATGAAAATAATTGAATTATTAAGAAGAATTTTACAAACAATTTTTTTTTCTTGAAAAAATTTATGCAAATTCTATTTTTAATAATTGAATTTCTGTAAAATGATTATTATTTTAGAAAATAATTGAATATTCGTGTAAAACTTTGTCAGAATTGCTTTTAAATAATTGAATTACTCAGAGATATTTTATTAAAATAATAGATGTACAAATTATTTAATTAAGAAAAATTTTTCAAAATAATTGAAATTTTGCAATGAATTTGATGAAAATTTTTGAAAATAATTGAATTTTATTACTTTTGAAAATAATTGAACTCTTGTGATGAATATTGTTATTTATGAAAATAATTGAATTTCTGCGAAGAATTTTATTAATTTTAAAAATAATAATTTCTGAAAAAGTTCTATTGAGAATTTACAAATTCATTTGTTTAGAATTCAATTTTACAAAATTTCAATTATTCGTAAATTCTTCCATTAAATAAATATTAGAAAATAAAAACTTTAAATAATTACAAAAAATCCGCAATTAAACTTTTTAAAAAAAAAATTATTCCACAGAATTGTTAATTAAAAATATGAAAAATTCAAATTTTCAAAGATTTTAATCTGAAACCTTTTCAAAATTCAATTATTTCTGAAAATTTACGCTGTATTGCTTTTAAAATTCGATTATAATCTAAAATTTTAACTGAAATTCATTTTTAAATCAATTTTTTTGAGAAAATTCTACTAGAATTAAATTATTTCTTAAAATTGAATTTTCAGAAAGAATTTTATCTATAAATTTTTAAATAACTGAATTCTTTTGACGAATTTTAATAAAATTTTAAAGATTTTCTTCGACGAATTGGATTAAAATTGTATTAAAAATAATTGAAATTCTGCAATGAATTTTATTATTTACGAAAATAATTGAATTCCTAAAAAGAATTTTATTATTTACGAAAATAATTGAATCTCCGTCAAAATTTTATTATTTATGAAAATAATTGAATTATTGCGAAAAATTTTATTAAAATGTTTAAAAAGAATTGAATTCATGTGAAAAATTTTGTTCTTTTAAAAAATAATTGAATTCCTCATAAGAATTTTGTAAACATTGTTGTAAATCAATAATTTTTTTGAAATATAGTAAATATTATGAAAATTTCATTTTGAATAATTAAATTCTTGTGGAAAACTTTATTTGTGAAAATAATTGAGTTTTTCGATGAATTAATTTAACATAGTATTAAAAATAATTGAAATTCTTCGATGAGTTTTATTATTTATGAAAATAATTCAATTCTTGTCAACGATTTTATTAGAACTTTTTTAAATAATTGAATTTCCAAGGAGAATTCAATTTTTAAAAATTTTATTTTAAAAATAATTGAATTTTTCTGATGAATATTGTTAGTTATGAAAACAATTGAATTTTGCAAAGAATTTTATTTAAATGTCTCAAAATAATTGAATTTTCAGGAATAATTTTGTTATTTATTTTTAATAATTGAATTCTTTCGAAAAATTATTTATTTAAAATTTTAAAT